AGACGCTTAACGACTGAGCCACCCAGGCGCCCTCCTTTTTTTTTTTTTAATACCTATCTCTTCCTAATTTAGCTCCTGTCTTGTTGGAAGGAAATCTTTCCTTCCTGTGGCCTGTTTTTCTCTTCATTCTAAAGGTAAAATGAGTGTACGGACTTTCTAGGTTTGATCTTTACGTCCAACTCTATCCTGTCTACACAGTGAGAATAATGTTCCTCGAGCAGACTTTTTGTCCCTGAGTCTCAGCTAGGGTGGTTCAGTTGTAACGTTTGTTGGTGTGAGGACAGCCCACCCTGTGCTGCCTGTGTTGGACTGGGGCGCCAGTCAGGGAGCATCCTGCCATCTCCAGGCTGCCCTCCAGGAACTTGAGGTTCCTTGTGGTAGGAATGAGGAGGAAGCAGAGAGGGTGGATGAGTGTTCCTAGTTGCGAGAGTGAGAAATTCCCTGGGTGTGGGGTTTGGCGTCTCTGCCTCTGTGCAGGGCACAGACTGAGAGCTCCAGGGGACACCTTTGTACTTGGAGATGTTGAAGGTGCTGGGTGCCCCAGGAAGGTGAACTTTTGAAAATGGAATTTAATTCCCTGGTTCTTCTGTTTGATTCTAGTTGGGAAGTTGAATACTGCTGCGTGTTCGGATGCCATCCCACGAACTATAAAGTAATAAGAGGTGGCATCGAGCCAGATCAAACCCAGCTTGAGGATTCCAAGTCCAGACACCTCTCCATAGTCGTGGTTAAGTATCTCCTCGGAGTAAATGCAGTAGCTCCAACCCAGAGGTGGGTCAGGCTTCCATGGGACCAAGCTGATAGTGAAATCTGACGCTGTGTTGTTGCTGAAGAGGTGATGAGCAAAATATAACTTAAGGCATTTGGGGCACTCTCCACCCTGCTTCTGTTGCCATCCAGATTTTGTGAGGTCTGCAGCCTACACAACTTAGCTGGTCCTGTTTTAGAAAAAGAATAGATGTTGGGGCGCCTGGGTGGCTCAGTCGGTTAAGCGTCTGCCTTCGGCTCAGGTCATGATCCCAGGGTCCTGGGATCGAGCCCCGCATCGGGCTCCCTGCTCGGCGGGGAGCCTGCTTCTCCCTCTCCCTCTGCCTGCCTCTCTGCATACTTGTTCTCTCTCTCTATCTCTCTGTCAAATAAATAAATAAAATCTTTAAAAAAAAAAAAAAAGAAAAAGAATAGACGTTATCAACACAAAATTAGATACAGCCACTCCAAGGTGTATATGATGTATCTGAGGATAAGCTGCCGTAGAAAGAGGCAGCAGTCTTTTTTTTTTTTTCAAGGTATGGAAAAAAATTTATTTAGCTTTGTGAGGCTTTACTTTCACAATAATACATATCCTTGGCACTGTAAGACCCTATTAAAGTTTCATAAATTGCCTTAATAAGGTAATTATTTAGGTTGATTTTATGAGACTTTAAGACATTTGAGTTAGTTTTCAGGATTTGCACAGATGATGACAATCAAAACAGTAATAACACAGTAAGCTGCAATTTCTAATCAAACACCTATTCCTAGGTTATATTCATTTTGATGAAAGAGGCAGCAGTCTTAACTAATTTCCATTATAATATACTTTGGCACTTTTACAAAACATGTTTCATACAGGGCTACCCTCTCCAGGGTCTCGCAAAGAGCGTGTGCAAGTGAGGGGTCATGATAAATACTTCTCTGAGGGGCTGTTTGGCAATATCTTTCAAAATAATCTCCCTCAACAATTTTTTCCTTAAGCACAAAAAAATTAAAAATACTTGTTTAAGAATGTTCATTGTAACATTTTGCAGTATCAGAAATTTGACAATGTGCCCATCCACTTAACGGAAATAATAGCTGCTACTAAAAACACTGGGACAGAGGTAGGTACCCACATGTTGGCTTGGCAGTTTTGGGAGAGGATTTACTTTAAAACAAACAAAACCCAGCAATTTCTCAATTGTAATAGAGCATGATGTAATTTTTATAAATCTTAATTTGTGAGTTTATATATTCATTTAAAAGTAGATTTGAGGAATATGCACCGAACTCAGTATGAATTTTTCTGAGAAATGGAGTTGGGGAATAAAGGAGTTTTTCATTTTTTTGCCATGTGCACCTTTGTGATATAATTTTTCTTCTGTTTACACGTGCTATCACTTTTGATACTAAAAGTGACAATCTACCAAGAAATTAACACCCTTCCATAGAGCATTTAGAAGTCCTGTTTGCTCCATGTTGGCCGCGTCCTGTGCGCAGCATGGCCGTGATCGTATCGCACAGAAAACGAACGAGATAGAAGGTGGATCCGTGCCTGCAACGGAGGAGCCGTCGGCGAGGGGAAAACCACGGAAGGTAAATGCCGCGCGTTCACAGCGGCCAGGAACCTGCGAGGCTCCTTTGAAGATCCGTGACGAGCGCACAGAAGCCAACATTTTATATACAATTTCACTGGGTTTAGGGACTCACCCAAGACCATTTACAGAACCCAAGGGTAACAGCTTTTAATTTAGAGATTTCCAAAAGAAATGTCCTGATTCTTCAAAGCCTCTTGAATCGGAAATGCCAAAATGTGAGTCATCAGTAGGGACCGAAGCAGAAGGGAAGCGAGAACCGGGAGAGGGAGCCATGCAGCCGTCCAACAAACTCCCCTCGGGGGTGTATCATTCGCCGAGGCTGTTGGCCAGGCCGGGCCGGCTGGTGCGGGGGAGGAGGAGGAACCGGGGCGGGCACCGTGGTGCCGCCGGTGCTCCCGGGGCCCCCGGACCTGGCGCCGCGCCTTCTCCAGCCCC